GTTGAAACAGCACACTGATATTTACATAGAAACCCAGCTGAGGCCCAGCAGGCTGCTGGGCCCTGAACGTTGGCCAATCCTGCTGCGCCCTCATTACTTTATTAGTTGGGAGAAACTGATGTGTGTTTTTGTGTGTCTTCTATCAGATCTGGCTGGACCCTGCTCTTTTTGTCATTCACATCTTCATAAAACTATGCTCTTGGGTGCGATGGGTGAGAGCACTCTGTACTTGTGCACATGGCACAGTATGAAAATGATAAAAAATGTCAATATTCTCCTTTGCACCATATTCATATGGTTACATAAGCTGACCTTCAACAGGAGGATGAAAATGACTGTCTCTATATATGTGTGTGTAACTGTAGAAATTACATGTTGTAAACCAGGATGACAGGAACTCCATCATAAAAGTTTTTGCTGTCATCTCTATGTATTAGCATCTGCTTTTGCCATCGCTCCCAAGGACTATTTAAAACCTGCAATGTCCAACTCTAGACTTGAATTAATTAGATTTTCCAGTCCAATCCATTTCCTGTAGCTGCTTCACAATAAAGGCATTCTAGTGGCTTGTAGGAACTGCTCAGTTGGCATGGACTGAATGTTTAACACAGCACCAGGTTTTAAAACTATTCTGATTGCACAAAAAATCCAGAAATTTAGAAAACATGAGGTTTGACAGCAGTGTGTTTTTACATTTCCTGATGCCTTCATAACACAGAAATACAAGAATCAATATGCTTAGTTCTTCTTCTTATGCAGAATTGATTAAATAAGTATTTCTGTAAATACTGTAAATTAGTCCACTTGAAAGTGAAGGAAAACAAGTCACTTTATGCCTTTGAGTTAGCCTTCTCTTCATCCATGTCTTTGGACTATAATAATTGAGTTATTCAGGTTTGAGGTTACACGTCTTTAAGTTACCGTAGTGGAGAACAGTTAATAGAAGTTAGGTTCACAATACTTAACCAACAGTGGAGGCTGTCATTGCTGTAGTCAGGTCTGCTGTGGTGACCAGAGCAGTACTGAGAGCTGTCTGTCTGACAAAGCTATCCTTGGCTTTGTTAGAGTCACTGTCATTACATTTTTATGTGGCTGAAGAGTGGAGTATAGCTACATACTGATTTTCAGTGTGCAGATGCTCAGACATGAGTTGTAAAGTTTACAGAGCATTTAGAGTGAAAGGCCTGTGTTATATTAACATTTTCTTCCATCCCTCTTCTTTGCAACTAAGTGTGATTTTTTCTAAGATGTGTTTTTTCCTGAAAGGAGTGGCGAAACATCTGTAGCATTTCTGTATAGAAGCAATGTAATTTTCACTAGAAAACCTCATCACGCCCTGAAAATGCTCACCACATAATTGTTGCATGTGTACACTAAACTGACAGTTGCTCAGTTGTTTGGCCTCTCACCCCGGTACTCTCCCCTCTCTTTGCTACCGCTCTGCCTCCCCTCTTTTGCTCTCCCCGGTCTCCCAAACTTCCCCCCAGCATCCTGCTCCTCATTAGAAGGCCTTTCATGGTCAGAGCCAATAAAACTTCAATTGGAAGCAGCCTGAAGAAAACATGGCTGTTCTGTGGCTTTACTGAGCGTTAATTACATGATCCCCGTACCAGACAGTGGAGCGCCAATCAGTTTCTCCAATAGCACTGCCGACCTATGGCCACATGTGGGCCACAGTCAGACACATAAACTCACATAACGCACACACACCAACTGCCTGTGACACACAGAAGAAATGTGCACAGACCCACATGTATAAAGGTCATACATACACAAACCCATATATAATACCGACAGACATATTATCACACACACACACACACTTTGAGGCCATTAGACTTATTAACCTCTGGCCACATGTGCTCAGCTCTGCCTGGTGTTCTCTCGAAGCAACAAGAAAATGAAGTAACAGTATTATACATAATTAGAAAATGCTTCATGTCTGCTGTATGTCACAATTACACAATTCTCAACTTTAGCAGAGTAACTGTGTTGGCGTAGTGCAAATGAGTGAGACACGTGACATTGCAAAGCAAAGGTGTAATTCATGCCTTCTCATTTCAGAGCTGTAATAATGGGAAGCGAGTGCCATTTGTCAGTTGGTGATATGTGAGATGCTGTCCTCTTTGTTTGGACTCATCCAGTCATGAGGAACAGACTAATTATAGAGTAACATTTCCTAATGTATTCATAAACAATGTCTGCCTTCATAAATAGAATGATTGGGAGGCAGAAGATGACTGCTCTTGCCATGTGGCTCTCTCCTTCTCTTTGTCTTTCCTCATTTCTCTCTTAGCTTCTCACTGTTGTTTGTCTATCTGTCGTGTGACGGCTGGTTATTTCAGGCTGTGCTGGAGTTTTTCCATGTGTCACTGCAATAATGTGCGGTGGCATCTTCTTCCACAAACAATCCTTAAAAAGCATCTCCCACAGGAGTGACACCATCAAACGCCGTCTGATTCAATTTCACACGCTGAGATGACTAAAGAGACATTATTTTTAAGTGGGAGAATTGTATGTCTCTTTGTTGCTACAACACAACTACCCAGCATATAAGGTCTAAACTGCAGAGGTACTTCACACCAGCCAAATGTTTTTGTGGATTTCTAATGTCACAGGAAACAACAACTTGGTGGTGCTTTACTGTTTTTACCTGAACCTATGCCTATGCATATTCACCGGCATGGGTATTAGAGGATGTATGGTCTTTGTGTTCATGAAACCAGTGCAAAGTGTAATCAGCTCATTGCAGCATAAGACCTTTAAACTGAAATAGTTGCTTCATAGGAAGAGGGCCCGGAGTGAATGTACTCACATAAAAAAAAAAAAAAAAGAGGAAAAAAAGGGTAGTCATGGACATATTGCTGCCATTGGCCATGACAAGGCAATGACTTACTGGATCTGGAGCTGGGAACCTGGACTCACTGATCCTATTAGAAGTAATGAATAGACTGAAAAATGGCAAGTATGTATATAATGTTGCCTGTTTCATAAACAAAGCATTTCCTTTAGAAATGACTTTCACCAAACAAAGCCAATTATATAAACAGCCTTGAGATTGCAAAAGCCAAGGAACTGTAGAATAGTAAAAGAAAAGAAAAACACAACAAGTGAATTATTATGTAGAAGAGAACACAAGTACAAACTTATTCCATAAGAGTGAGCATAACGTTTCTCATCCCTTGTTTTATATATTCAAGCCTGAAATGATCCAGTAACATGACATGCTTGTGCTGCAACCAGCTACAGAAACTCAGATAATGAAGGCATTCAGCTGGTGACAGGTAAACTAGCAACGGCACAGGGCAGGTAGCGACTTGTCCTTTAATTGCACCTTGAGGACTGATATGGCGCATGTACAGTGCGCAGATACCTTCCAGAGTGGAGGAGAGGTACTCAACAGTGACCCGTATTGGTGGGTGGGTGGGTAAGAGGGGCTTGAAAGCACGCCCACAGTCCACCTGTGACACCTGGGCTGGTGGAGAGCAATCTGTCAGGACGCGTAGAGGCGCATTCTTTCAGTCAAAACCAGACCACCTCCACCAAAAAACACCACGGCACATACACACTGAAGACTCCAAACATGAAAATGAAAATGACAGATGTTTTCAAAGCTAAACCCACGAATCGAACCATGTAGACAGTAATGTTATTCTGAAACATGTCTAAAAATAATATTTAGATGAGACAGAATGAAACGGAAATGGCAGGAGGAACTCGAAACCTCGTATACTCTTTCTCCCTCTCCTTCTCTCTCTCTC